GCGAAGTTGTCAATCATAATGTTCACGACAATGGCTGCAGTCATGTTGTCGGTCTTTACTTGCTGCAGGTCAATTACTACAGGTCACTTTTACAGTTTCAGATAGAAAACGGCAGCCAGCATCACCACAAGCCAAACAAGTTTAGAATGGTATGGCACTGGTATAAAAAAGCTGCCATGTGACTAGTAAACACAGGGTTACCGTGTAACACCTCTTCAGAGAGTAGAATCAGAAAATGTTATTCTGCTTCAAAGTGGCTATATGGTTGGGATAAAGTTTACTCGTGGGGTTTTGTGGTTCCCATGGGATCAGTGTAGGTGCTGCCCGCTGTGGCCACTGTCGGCCACCGCAAGGGTTTGAGTCAAATCCAATTTGTGCAGCCGAGTTACACGAATGTGCGCCGGGTTTCATGACTTCGGCTGAAAGAAAGCCTCCGAAAGTTGAGATAAGACGCAGAAACAAAGTATGAGACAAAGTGGAGCACACAGCCTATTGAATGATAGCCACTGGAGAGGAAAGAGACAACCCCAGGGAGGAGGTCTGCAAAGGGTGTTTGACTGTTTGTCTCTCTGCTGCTGGAGGGACCACGCCCAGACCTCCACCATACACACACACGCAGGAAGCTGATCTGTTGGGCAGCCAAGGGTTTCCTGTGGTTGCGGCAGGACTACTGGCTCTAGACTCAAACAGTTGTAAACTCTCCTCTCTTCCCCTTTCAATCACCTCCTCTCTTTTCTCCACTCTCATCCTGTTTTCTGTTGTTTTCTCTATTCTTAGTCATCCACCTCTCCATCGACCACCCGTCTGGCATTTCCTTCGTCTTCCTTGCTCTCCTCCTCTCTGTGTTTACTTCTCCTCTCTCCTTCATTTCCCTCTTCCATTTTCTTCTTTCCCTCGCTTCCTCTTCCACAGAAAACACATCCCTCCTCCTGTTATTGTTATTATCTCGATGGGGCGACTGGACCCAAGTTATGTGTGTGTGTTGTGCGCCCCACCCTTGTCCCCCCACCTCACACACTCACCCACACCCACTCCACTCACCACAGTTACTTAAACACACACACACACTCCGTTTCTTCTGCCGCCTCTGGACTGAAAGGAGCGGCAGGGAGTGAAGGGTTTATTCACTTCCCACTAGAAAAGGTTTAAACATGACTCAGATACTCAAGTTCTTGCCCCTGTGTAACCCACTAAAACTCTGGCACAAAGATGAAATGTTTTCTGTTTTCCAATAAATCAAATGTCCCTTTTTTTCACTTGCTCTACACTTCATCAATGACGTTGCTTCAGAGCAACATCATGTTTGAAAAGGGCTCAGGTCACATTTCCATAAAAGTAATGATGTCTAAACAAGGCCTAAAAATATTTCTTCACTTAAAACACACAGCACAGACAAGAGTATGATTTACTCAGACTGAAAAGTGTGTACACATAAACATATTGCTGTACAATGTCAGGCTAAACTTTCAACTTCCATTTCCTCCTGGTGATGTTACTGTGGTGGTGAATATAAAAAACAACCCAAATCTAATGAAATGGTAATGTTTCATGAAAAGTCTCTACAGCAGAGTGAGAAAGACAGTGATGGATGTTTCATGTCTAAAACAGAATAAAATGAGGGAATGAAAGGAAAAACATCCACCTGATTTTTCTACTTCCACAAGAGATTCCTAAATATTCACTGATATAACTTAACATACTTTTATTCTTATTTATTGAAGTTTATAAATCTAGTGCTCATTTATTCAATTGTCCTTTGATGTCCTGTCAGCAATCATTACTCATTACATAATTTCTAAGCAGCTTTACACAAAAACTATTCTGGACGGATTACAACAATACTCAGTGGAAGGATGTGGAATGGGTCAAAAAACTTTGGTGGGAATATGGATCAGAGGGCAGATGCAGGAATTTTTTCATTACTTTCTTTAACATTAGGAGACAGGTTATTTTTTGACAAATTCACTGTTTGTAACAATTTAAGGATATTGATGGGAAAAAAATGTGGTATATTTAGAGGACTGATATCTGAGAGTGTGCAGCTTGGTGCAACATGATTGAATTAAAGGGGACTGTTGATGGAGGTATGTGCTCTACTGAGTGACTTAAAAATCTGTAAAACTCCACACTAACAGTCTTCATTGCATTTCCCTCCCAAAAGTTCCTGGAAACAGATTATACAGGTGTACAAACATTTAGCACTAATGTCCTGTTTCAGCTGTTATTCGATACCAGCGCTCCTGTTTTTCTACTTCACACTTTACTTTTTAAAGGATTATGGTGCTGGATACACATAGCGTTTAAGATCTTTGGCCTTTTATAGTCAAAGATAAGAGATGAAAACAGGCTTGAGGATTAACCATTAATCCTCTTCACACTGCAAAGAATTTCTATGTTTGTTTGCCGACTTCTCCTTTGCGCTGTTCTTTTCCGTCAAAGTAACACAGAGTACTATGTTTCCCTGAGGTAAATAATGTTGACAGGATTGTTTTAAAGAAACACAAAAAGACTACTTCAGTTTAAACTGGCAAATGAAATAAACTTTTCCCAATCTGTACACTCTGACTCTTCTTAATACTCAGTTTTCCACATACTGCATCCTTTAGATAGATAGATAGATAGAGTACTTTATTCATCCCCGGAGGGAAATTAAGGTGTCATAGCAGCTTGTGTATCGGAACACAACAAAACACAATGCAATAGAACAAAACAAAACAAAACAAAACATTTAGGTAAAAAGAACAGAAACAGAAACACAAGATGAATAGGCAGACAAGTAGTGCAGTGGCAATATGATGATAATAGTAATAATGATATGATGGTAATGTTATTGTTAGACAGTATATAAGAATATTAGTACAGTATATATTTATAGCACCAAATCATAACATACATTATCTCAAGGTACTTTACATAGTGAAGTCAAGATCTAACAAAACAGAGAAACCCGACAGTTCCAATAATGAGCAGCACTTTGAGTGTGGAGAGAAGAAACTCCCTCATTAACTGGGAGAAACCTCAGACAACAGAACCAGATTCAGTGTGGGCAACCGGTTGAGCAGTTGTGGTGACCAGTGAAAAATGGGGAAAAGAGGAGATGTGGGTACAGAGAGCAAGCCATTGGAAAAGCATTTGTCATAGGGAGGCTAGCAGTGGATGTTTCCGCATGCACTTTCCACTTCCACTCTTGGAGGAAACCCTGTATGGTGTCACCGTCAACAGTATCAAAGAATCTTTCTTGTCGTACATATCAAAACCATGAAGGAAATCCTTGAGAAAGCACCACGCAACCTTGGATCATTTGACCAGGCCACCTTCATTCAGGACATTTTCTCTGACTCACCCTCACACTCACACAGTTGTTAAAAACAGTTCACACAGAGACAATGGACTTATTTAGTATTCACTTGGTTTATCAGGCAACACCAACAAGGAAACTATACCACCATGAGCATGTTAACTCTACTGCTGGTTTCTATATTTAAAATAACTAGTAAGAATTTTCAAAACTTGTACTAATCATGTTTATTTTTCACATGGCAATAAATCCTTTGAATTCTTTTGGTGGCATTTAAATAAGCAACACTTCAAAATCAACAAAAATCTCCAGACAAAACTGAAAACAGCTGTTCTCACCATAAAAAAAATAAGCCTACTCTTAAAGCTACAAAGTTGGTTCCATGCTTCCATGTCTTTTTTCGCTCTAATGGAAAGAAAATACAAATATACACATTTTGATGGTGATGTTTTACCCTTTGTGTCAGTAGATTTCTCCTAAATTCACCAAACAAGCTAATCTGCATATGTAAACAACATTTCAGGGGAAAATACTGTCCTAATGTATAAGTCATTAACTGGAGAAGTTCTATGATGATGTTTTAGTTCATTTTCTTGTCATGTTTGTTATTGAGAGTTGGAGACCGATATGAGGTATGTCAGAGAACTAGATGAGAATGGCTTAAAGCTCTTTCTTTGCTTCTGTTCTGATTTTCTGTTTGAAGATAACATCACTGTCAACTTTATTGAAACCAGCTAATTTCAGTGTTGTCCTCTAACAAACACATGTTAACAGTTAATTAGCAGAACTATCCAGGCACTGAACCCTCGAATGGCCCCTCATACATGTTGAATTTACTATAAGTCGCTCTAAACAGCTCAGTTTGGGTGATGGATGTGGTGTCAACCTCAAATCGTAAGTTAGGCATTGCATATTTTCTGAGATGTTGACATTCATACTTTTTGTTTGATTTTAATTGTATAAAATTACAAATTAGAACACACAGTGTGTGTTTACTGAAAATGTTGGGGTATCAGTATATTAAAGAAGCCAAGCACAGTTCATTTGCATAACAGTATTAAATGCAGAAGCATCTGGTTACCCAGTGTAATATTTAACTGGTGGGATGTTATGATGTTTTGTTCCTGTGACAACCTGCCTTTGCAGAAATTGCTTTGTTTGCCATATAAAGCATAAAAATATAATTGATTCGAAAAGAATTGTGGTGGAAATGTATCTCGAGATGTGAAATAAAGAGTTTTTTTCAGACCGGAGTTATCTTTGGGTCTTTAATAGAGCTCTGCAGAGGGTTTCACACTCAGCATGAATGCTCAGAGTGGAACACCTTCAAATAGGGAAAGAAGAAGGTTTTATACAGTCAGGTAAACAGGAAACATAAGAGATAACTGTTTCTGAGTAATGGCAAATGAAAAACGGAAGCCACCTTTAGTCTGGTTAACACAGGAAGCTAACTGCTCTTACTTCTGCATGAACGAAAGAAGTTTGCTACTGCAAAGATTAGTGTGTTGTTTCAAATCGTCCGTCTGCACGTTTGCCAAGCAGTTCCTCTTATGCAAGCACAATTGTGTTTCTATATGAGTTATTGTCGAACACAGCACACGAGCAATGATCAGACATAGGAAAGAGTTCAAACTAATGTCATATGCAAGTTTTCCATTACAGAATGATTTTGATATTACAGCTGATTTTGATATTACAGCTNTATAATTAGACAAACATTCCTGACAGCTAATTCACTAATCAGTTTGTTCACAGAAATCTGATTCCTTCTCTGCTTTCATCACGACTTTCTCATCCTCTTAACTCCTCAAGCCCTCTCCACTAATCCTCTGCTCTCTGTTCAGGGTCGAGTTATGTTCCTGGTGCAGGCGGCTGAGACCACCTGAGAGCAGAGGAGAGGAGGAAACGTGGCGTTAGAGAACAGAGGTTGAAAGAATGATTTTAGTGTTATATCGGTGTTACCTGGGAGCCAGTTGGTATCTTCCTCTGCTGCGATACGATCTACCTCTGGACTGTCCAGGAGGACGGTTCATGTTGTGGAGACCTCCACTGTGATGCTCAGGATAAGTACTAGGATGAAAATGTTGGCCTCCTCCTCTGTGTCCTCTATCCCACAGTCTCTCTCTGTTGTCATTTTCACTTCGGTCTGTTCTTTCCTCTCCTCTCTCCCTCCATCCACCTCTATGTTGATGCTCCCCTCTCACCTCTCCTCTTGTCCTCCATCCCTCACAACCACCTGAAGTCCAACCTAAAGATGAGGAGCAAAGCCAAAGTGAACTAAATTTATTCTGTAGCAGAAAACACAGTAAAACATATTCTTTCAATCTGCTTTAGATGATGAACATCATGAATTGTATCTGAGATTATTCTGTGTTTTTGTGTTTTGTCTGTGATTGTTTCCCTTGGGAAATTTACCAGGCTCAAATGGAAAAGTGTGATGGCAGGTGTTCCTGCACAGTGATGAAAGTTGTCCTCTGGAAACTAAATCTGGTTGAACAGCAGTCTCGATGAAATAGTTCTCAGAGTTCACACATTACATTACAAAAAAAAGCAATCAATCAATCTTTTATAGTGAATTTTTGGCTATTTTGGAGGAAAAGACGCGACAGACATGCACACATAATTTGCCTTAAAAATCTGTCCACAATTATTTCAAGGCTTCCCATAAAACACCAACAAAAAACAACCAAAGTTTAAATCACAGGGCAGACGAACAATCAACAAGTTTGACAGAGGAAAAAAAAGCTCACAGATCTACTTGTGAACAGCTTCAACAGATTTTTATGATTTTAACTTTCATGACAGTTTTTTAGATCATCACAGTCGACCACATTTGATTTGTTATGGATTTTTTTAAAAATTTGCTCGATAAAAAAAAAAAAGTTGAATGATGCATCCAATATTATTCATCCTCACTTTTCTCTGAAGGATCTTTGACAGGCGTGGCAGATTTTAATCCAATTACAAAGCACTGAAAATAAAACTTTAAGTCCCACTTAAGCTGGAGTTGTTGCTGGTTAGGCCAAAGTGGGCCACCATCCTCCCACCAATCTACTGCCTGAGTGTGAAAGTGTGGAAATAAGCACATGAAAGCATGAGGCACATCGGTGAACAATGGGTCAAACAGACCTCAAGTATCACAACTTTTTTTTACATCTGTTTAAGTGGTTGTTACGCCTGTTGTAAAGTTTCCCTGATTTAGATTCAGAGTAAAACCAAAAGTAAAACCCTTTCTTCTCTCAAATAAAATTAGGGAAAGATTTGTTTAAAGCATGTTATTTCTACATCAGAGGAGATTTAAATGTGTTTATTGGAAATTAACATTATCAGAGGACAGATTGGACGATAGATTAGAAGTACATCACTACTCTCAGCCACAGAAAAGTGTGGTCTAAGAAAATGTGAGCCAATCTGAAACTGATGTTGTTTTCATTTCCTTTTTTTTGTCTATTTTGAACTGAAATAAATTGAGAAGACACGAGAGAGCAGCTCCACTGGATTCACTGCTGGAGTGTAATTGTGAGGGCAGGCGGGCAGAGGAGATATTTGCTGAGGAGACTAAACATCAGGCCTGATTCCAAACAAAAACCAAACCAGGCCCTCAAAGATACCACATAGCGCCACCACTACTCTCACGCACACACATGCTCTCTCTCTGTCTCTCTCTCTCTCTCTCAAACACACACTCCGTATCCCCACAGTTCTGTAGTAATGATCGGTGTCTGTGTCTGGCAGAAATGAAACACTGAGGTATAAAGAGTGTAGCCTTCCATCTATAAAACCAGAAACATCCTCATGAGACCCACAAGGTTTGGGCAAAAAGCAGACAGTTTGGCGCAAACCGGAGACTCTCCACCAAAATGGCGAGCAGAAAAATGGTCGCAAAAGGTTTATTAGTCGAAACAACTGGTTCAGATTTCATAGGCAACCACTGAGTCGTCTTCTGAGATTGACGATAGAGTCGGATGGAGAGTGTAAAACTACAGACATGTCTTGTACCGACAGGGAGCATGACCTAAGTCTGCACACTACAGTGAAAATCATTATACAGAAAGTTCACATTAACGCTTCTGTAAAACAAACTCAAGATGTCAAAAGTGTGAAAAGGTTGGAAAGACGTCGGGAGAACCAGAAAGAGAACGACAGCGATAAAAAAGAAAAAGAACCAGAGAGAAGGAGAAGAGAGAATACTGGATGAAGAGTAAAACAGGGGAACAACTGAGGGTAAGGGGAGTGGAGGGAGGGGGAGACAGAAGAGAGAAGCCTGTAATCAGCTCGTCTTGTTGTGTGTCTTAAAATAGAGCTCTCCCAGCCTATAAACAGAAACCTACTATTACTACTGCACTGACAAAGCAAGTCTCGGACCGGAGCATGCACGTGAGCGTTTGTGTGTGTGCGAATGCACGCCATGGTATGCATTAAGGCCACAGCACACATGGAGCTTGTTACAGCACAGCCCTCTGGGTAATGTGGTTCTTCGAGGGACACCAGAGAACTACAACCACAGATCAACTATCAGATTATAACGTTGCTTCTCTGTTTAGCTCCAGGAATATTTTCATCAGTTGTTCATATGAGCTACAGTTTGTTCAGGCCACTCAGATCACTAGAAGCCTCTTTACGAGTGTGTAGGTTGGAGAAACAAGGACTTGATCAAAACATAACTACTGGAGCATTAAATATAATACAGACATCATATTCACACTTTTATAAGACGTCTTTTGGGATTTGTAAGTAAGTAAATATAGTTAAAATGGGGAGAGAAAGAAGGATATGACATGTGACAGAGGTCCCACAGTCAGATTTAAACAGAGGACATAGTGGTTACATGGTATGCACATTAACCACAAGGGTGAAGGAGGAGAAACCCCAACATTCTTAATTCAGGTCAAAAACACTTTTCTCTCTGACTTTTATTTAAACAGGATGGTCTCAACATCCTGGCAGTGTAATTATGCCACATGAAAACAACAAAATCTCAGCAATTAAAATATGCATGAAGTTAAGTTTTCATCTGTGTTTGTTTGCCTGTTAGTTAGTTAGCAGGATTAAACAAAGAATACTGGATACATTACCATGAATCTTGGTGGAAGGATGTGGTATGGGACATATTTAGGGGGTTGGTATCGACGAGCGTGTGCAATTTTGTACGGATCCAAATAAAAATCTGGATCTACTGGATTTAAATGTGGTTTGGGTGCAGGCTTTGTTCAGCCACTGTATGTTAGATGATGTGGCCTTAGCTTCGCATGATTTACATGCATATATACAGAAACATCTTTTAAAAACACTCTGACATGAGCAGAGAAACAAAAACTCTCAAACACTGGTCACAAGAGAAAGACATTGATTTCTTGCACTGAGAGAAATCTGTCAGAAGCAGGTGTCCGAAGCAGTTAGACGGTGGGACAAGTCAAACAAATTATTGTTTGTTATTTAGTCAGTCAGATGTCTCACCTGCATGTCTCCCCCTGTATCCGGGTACTGAAGTGGATTTATGACTTTGCTCTGGTAGGATGGGTGTTGGTCTTGACTGCAGGACTCTGCCTCTCTTCCTGCAGGTTTCTATGAGCTTCTCTCTCAGGTGGAGAAACAGGGATAGACGGGAAGACTGGAGAGACACGGAGACAATAAACTCTTCAGACTACATTCAAATACACTTAATACCTGGTGCATGCCCCTGCCAGGGTGCAACAGTCCCCTTAAATTAAGCTGCACCAAATTTTACACACTCATAGATATCATTTCCTAATAATTTCCCAGAATTCAATGAATTCTTCCCTGACCCATAGCACATCTTTCATGGAAAGTTCAGTTACGTTGTTTTGTGTAATCCTGCTTACAAACAAAAAAACTAAATAAAACCTCCCCTCAAAAACTTGTCATATACAGCAAACACACACACACACACACACACACAAACACATATATGCACACAGACACACACACACAGAATCCCCATTGTGTATTCCTGTCTCCACTCACATCACTGTCTAGCAGCACAGTTGTCTCTGTCCCACTATGTGCCAGCAGGTACTTTGACTGGAACAGCTGTCCATCAAAACTGTGCCAGGGCATCAGGGCAGTGTTGGGCAGCGGGTAGCCGCTGGCACAGTTTGCTCCCAGCAGGTGGCTCAGCCCTCGGACATAAAGAGATCCCAGCTGTACTGCACGACTGGAGAGGAAAGGCAGCTGAGAGCAAAGAAAGAGAAATATTCTTATGGTTGATCTGTATCACACTGCTGGATAGTTTGGTGATGCTTCTGTCACCAAAATTGTACTTTGAATCTACAAATGAAAAAGGGACTTTTCTGTGTCACCAGCAGGTCACAACTGATTTCACCACATGTGGTAATAAATTCCTCCAGGTCAAAGTCTAACAAACCACCTGATGGATCCTTGACCCCAAACAACAACAGACCACACAGCCGGTCACTCGTCTGAAGGTCCCCACTCTTTTTTTTGCTAATTAATACATCTTGCCATTAATATTATTACAAAAAATGAATCTTCATTTGACAGAAAAATCTTTATCCTCAGTCCACTTTCTGTGACTTTAGTGGCAGAGGAATCAATCACACCTTCACTCTGAACACCACAAACATGCAGCATCATACACACACTCCTGCAGTAAAGAACCATCTGCTTCTTCAATATGCTTCACGTCACTAACCAGACCAAAGTCCTGAGAATTTCCCTCACAACTGTTAAAACAATTAACATTTCACAACCCCAATTTGCACAACCTTATCTGTTCAATCCTGACACAAAAGTTACACAATTATATATGACTCAGACCACCCACTTCACTGTCACTCTGTTCAATGGCACACTGCAGTGAGGTGTCGATCTACGGATTCACTCAAAGTAAACTGCATTAATGAAATCAGACAAACAGACTGTGCACTCTCAAGCTATTCTTAATGCTCCTGTTACGTACCATATGTGTTAAAGTAATTTATTTTATTTGTTTGTTTTTTTTACAGTGGCATCATATTATGATTAAATCACAGGGTTTTGTTGTTTACAGATTTATAAAAGCCAACACAGGAGAGAGGAAAAGAAGAAACCAGAGGAGGACAATAAAGAAAGAAAAGATGATGGAGAAGCAGAGAGAAAGATAGCAATGATAACAGCAGGCAGATGCTCTCCATGTGTTTTCTGTTCTCACCTGTCATCTGGTACATAGCACTGATAACATGGATTACCTGTATACACACACGCACACATAAACACACACACACACACACACACACACACACACACACACACACAAACATACAGCCCTGCTTGCCACCTGCTTCCAGTCAAACACAGCTTCACCTTCAGAAAACAATGAACCACTGAACAGAGACACAAAAGCCTGAAGGAGCTAGAGTGAGAGAGAGAGAGAGAGAGAGCAACATGAAGAGAGACAGAACAAGAGAAAGCAAAAACCAAAAGAGCATCAGAACATACAAAGCAAGAGACAAAGACATAAGTGTATGTGTGTATGTCCGGGGCGGAGTGTGCAAGTTTGTGTGTAAATAGCTCCATGTGGTGAACGCCAGCCATCACAATCAAAGTCCCATTGGGAGTAATGGGACTGTACTGTAAAGCGCTTTGAGTGGTCATCAAGACTAGAAAAGCACGGTATAGTAAATACAAACCATTTACCATTTCATGTTGAGAAACCGCCTTCCAAAGGGTTAGGGTTAATCATTTGAATAAACTGTTTGTATCTTATTATTGTGCTGTTATGAAACAGAGGATGATTTTCACTCTGTGCAGATATGTGTTCAATTAAGATTAAGTGCAATGCAACTTCATGTTAAAAATGCAATCTAAAGTAGTCCACATCACAGTGTGTTTATGTGCATGTTGTGTGTGTGTGTGTGTGTGTGTGTGTAGTTGGTCCATGCAGCAGTCCCTCAGCTAGCCCCCGCTCCTGCAACCCTGAACCTCTTGCAGACAGCATATTCAAATCAACGCCCAGTCCTAATTATTGTGTAGAAAACAGACAAGCAGCAAAAATACAAATTACTAGACATAAGTATGGTAATTAAGCAGTAAAAATAAATGGGGCTACAACAAGGCAGTGAACAGCACTCTGTGAGCGTTTTCCCAGAGAATGGTGGGACACAGCGGATTCTGATTCTAGTATCAGTCAGATCGACCCAGCTCACAGGAGACAGCACTATACAATCAATTCATGATTATTTTCATTATTAATTAATCTAATAATTACTATTTAATCATTCAGTTGAAGATCGAGAAAAGGCTCATCACAGACAAATTCCCACATTTCAGAAACTGAAAATGGAAAAGTTTCATTATTTTTGCCTCCATGTTCTTCCGGCGTCAGCACACACAGCATCAGTAATCAATGAACCACCTGTGGTGTAAAAGGTGATCATATGGAAGATTTTTCTATCAGATTAAAATGTTAATTGGCTCTAGAGGTGCAACACTTTGTCCATCAGGAGAAAATGAATCCGCTATTAAGCAACACATTACATTCAAAGCAAAAATGCCAAAGATTTGATGTTTCTGCAGTGAAGGAAAATCTTTCTGCATTTTATTGATTATTAGGAATTCAATATTTTGGGGATTAGTTGTTCAGACACAGTAAGATATTTCAAGACATTAACCTGGAATGGAATTTTTTAACCATTTTAACAAATAAAACATGAAAATAATTATGTTACATAGCAGTTCTATTTGGCAGAAGTTCATATTGTTTGATCCTTAACTTTTTGCTGTTTCAGTGATATTCTCACATTACAACATAATCTGTGCTGAAACCCTTTGGTTGCCTTTTTACATTGACTTAAGGTCATGTCTGTACAAACTATGAGCACACCTAATTCATTACAGCTTTTTTTTCATACAAAAAAGTAGGCACAGCAATAAAAGACCTGGAAACCCTCTGTGTTGTTATTTTGAAGTTTTTAAGAAGGTGGAGACTCTCAAACAACAGTTTATTTGTATTTTTCGTCTCATTGTTTCTTCACTTTCTAAACCCGGAGATATATTCTGACCTGTGATTGCCACAGGACAACAGTTTACTGTAAACTGCAGAGAAACTTGCAGCAGGAAACACAAGACCACATGTTTGCTTCAATTGAAACATACAATTTAGGTGAAAGTCTTAAAATTGAAGTTTATTCTAAACCACAGTTTTAATGAAAGTAACAAAAGATATTTAAAAATACCTGAACCTTAAACAATATCTGTGTATTTTTACTTCTAACTGACCTTGATGTACTGAAGCTCCTGAGGGGATTTCATGCTCAGACAGACGGCCTGACTCAGGTAAGCGTCAACGTCCTCTTGAGACACAGCCTGCACCTGACACACACACACACACACACACACACACACACACACACACACACACACACACACACACAATATATAGTCTGCCAATTCAATCACATTCCAGTGTGTGTTCTGCATGGGTCAGTTTGTTTTGTCTGCTCTCTATGCAACAACTCAAGCAAAAGAAACAATGCTGAATACAGAAACATGGCTGCCCAGTTGTGTGTTCAAAACAAACAAACCCTGAAGCTATTTCAACAGAAGAGTGACGAGGGAATGTGAATGCAGTAGAATGAGACAACAACAGCTACTGTTGTCTGCCTCATCTTCGATCGTCTACTCGTCTAATGGTCAGTGTAACAAGCTGCTTCTCTGCCTGTTTGTTGGTCTCATCCATTTAAATGAAAGGATCCCAGTTCTGACTACATCTAGATCTTGACATCTTCAGCCCCTTTGAGTTTTTGAGATTACATAATATTGCCATTTTAGCTTTACACTGAACCAAACATGTTGACATATTGTGTTGTTGGCTCTGTGATTACCTCTGATGCCGACGAAAAGCAGAACAAGAATGCCATGTTCGTACATTTTATACAGAATAAAGGCACAATATTTCTGCCATGAACACGTTGAGATTATTTCTTTGCAAACAGAACCTTTTCTTCCTCTAAGGTTCACATTACAACCTGTTTAAAATGAATTGGTTACAGCCCTGATAAATGAATTGACATTAATTTTTGTTTATCTTCTGCAAAATGACGCAAACTCCTTCATCCAGGTAATCTACTGCGCTGATCTCTGTTGTGATCTCTGCTCCATCAGCTGACGTCAATGTAAAATGTACCAACAGAAAACACAAATCTCTGCTTCTTTTCACATTTCTCTTACAACAGGATCACAAAGAGCACATATGTTTATAGTTAAAATTTTACAACCAAAATAAGAACTGAGGCAAATGAAGCTTCTCTTGAAATATTCAAAGCCCTTGAGTGGTTATCAGACCTCTTGTTGACACAAGAGCTTAACTTACAAAGACCTGTGTCTGTGGCTAAACTGGGCACTCAGTGGGTGATAATGGCTCACACCAGCCATGACAAAAACAACACAACACAGACGTCAACAACTCATGTTTAACTTCACATCACAAGTTGAATTAAGAGCACAATAATTGTTGTATGTGTTATAGATGTAAATCCCAATTCAAAAGCTGACTTGTGTGTTTTAATTGTCACCAAATACATTTGGTCTTTCATTCCCTGTTTACATAAATCACCAGGTGTAGCTGTACAACACATATACTAACGTTATCTCAGCGCCTAAATACAAACTGAGTACGCAACTGTTTAATTTAACAGAAAAAGATGCATTACCTGCAGGACTATGTAAGTGACCAGACAGAGCACAGCCAGGAGAGAGACTTCAATGCTGCCGTACAACTCAGTGAAGTCCTGGCAGTCAAGTATCGTAAGGAAAGACGTCAGACGAAGGGCAGAAACATCAGAACCAGTGCCAAACCACAACAAGTCCAAATTGGGACGACCACCTACAAATGCAGATAAAGAAGACTGATATATTTAATATATAATATATATAAACGATAACAGAGGGAAACCTTATTCCCAGGAAAAAAAATGTGTTGCATATTATCTTCGGCATTGTAATTTAAAGTGTACCATCCTCCCACTGAGAACAAAATTCAACTTGACTAATGTTTGGTCCAAAATTTAGCTCAGGAATACTTTGAGATAGATATTAAGACAGTACACGGGAGGTTGACTGGGACAGGGTGGACCATGTGAGGTTCCTTCAGTGGGTTTCCGGGGAAAACAAACCATTCCCTGATCGCTGGAGTGTCAACAGTGCTGCCTGAAAACACAAACAAAATCAAAGTCAAGGCTCCACAGCTAAGCCTGTATTTCTAGGGTGCATCGATGTCAGTGTGTTTACAATCTTAAATGTGAACTTTTGTCTTTGTGTACATAATTGGGACCACTCCAGTAACTTTACTGTCCTACCATCATGATCGAGCAGCAGTCCGTAGATGCGCTGTCTGCAGGATTTGAATACGAGGGCCTGAGGCAACAGTTCAGTGTCCTGCTCATCCTCCAAAGTGTTACTACATTGGACGACTCCCTCAAACACAACAGGGTAAACCATAGAACCCTCTGCTGCTACATGCTTCTCTCTGCATGCCTGGGGAAAACCACATAGAAAACAATATACAGATAATCTGGCACTGGCGGACCTTATAAGACTTCTACAAGAGACATACTGTAGATGTATATGAAACATAACATACTTTTAATATTTCTGGACTAACGTATTTCTTCAAGGCAATCGCAGAGGGACGTGCAGAGATGTCACCCCGCTGCAGGTCTTCCTGTCCAGGTAGTAAGTAGGAGCAGATCCCTCTCTTCAGTAGCTCTCTGTGAGGAGCTGACAGATTCATGCATTGAAGGATGTGCCCAGTCTCTTCCTCCTCCCCGCCCCACAAAGAGCTCACATACTGGGATACAGCTAGCACCATTTGCGCCTGGGGAGCACCAAGTTGTGGTGCAGGATTGTTTTTCCTGGGAAACAATGAAGCAAAATTGTCATGTTATGTCATCATCTAAAGTTCAACTAAGATGCCTCACTGTAAAATGTCTAAACAAGATGAAGGGTTTTTTTTTTACTCTGCAAACAAAGGTCATCCATTTTGGTCGAACAGCTCCAGACTGATCTTGACATTGACTATGAAAACTGAATATACAGCAGTTAAAAAGTTGTTTTCTAGATGTGACTAAAACAGGCTTGGAAAACAATTTCATGGACCATTTAAAAAATATTATGAAATGAAAGTCAATATCCATGTTTTTATAACCAAACACATTCAGCAACAAAAGTTGGTATTTGTTTGGATTCGGATAAAAAATAAAATAAAAATTCTGTGGAAGAGGCAATGTTGATTGTGAGCAAACACCAAATGTTTGTCACCTGTATGTTGCCATGGCATTGTTCCTGATGTGCTGCATCTGCTCCTTTGACACCACATCGTTACCAAGGAGACAAGCCAGCAGTGGTAGCTGGGGGACAGCTAGTCCGATGGCTCGGCAGAACCTCTGTCGGTCGTACAGGACTGTGGTGAAGCTGTTTATTCTCAGCTTTTCCACTGACAAGTAGGGGGCACTTAAAAAAACAAAACAAAAATTATATATTTTTAATCCAACCACAGCAAAGTACCAAACAATTAAAGATTTAACCTGTTAAGAGCAAGATGTGATTGGGAAATGGGAAGAGACTCTGACTGCTTTGTTTACTAAAAATAATTAATGATAATTTCGACAAACCTGTCATATATGATGAAGTCTGAGTCCTGTCCCAGAATGCCCATGCAGCAATGCTGACGAGCGTAGCTGGCAATTTCATAGTCAGCCTCCTGTACTGAGCAAAACACTTCCTGTCCCAAGGACCTTTAAATTAAAATAATATATTTGTTGTTTGTCTGTTAATTAGCAGCATTACACAAAAGCTACTCGACGGATTACATCGTTTTTTAACATTTTGTGTTTTTCAACATTTTCACTGATATCCCAGGGAATAATTCATGATGTTGATGAGAAAAGGTTGTTGGGCCTTGGTGGAGATACAGTACGTGCTCTACTGAGTGCCATTCTAGTTTATAAATGCTAACCTGAGAGCAAAGCTTGTGAATGCTGCCAGACCAGAGGGCAGACAGAAGAGCTCTCTTCCAGGCTGCTCTCCATGTTCCTTGATGTGACGAAATATTTTAGAAATTTGTCCATTCACCCTGTGTCTTCTCTTTACCTACAGACAGGAGAGAAACTTTGAATACAGGAGTTTGAGACTGCATTAACTCATAAGAGCAACTGAGTAAACTCCAGGCTCAGCTAATGCCTACATTATCTGTTCATTAATTATGTTACTAAAGACAGAAGTGGATTGAGAGTCTTCCAGCAGGTGCAATTTAAAGATATGTAGAGTAACAGCATAATCACTATAGCTTCTAAAATAAATTACTCAAACACCTCCAGATTACATTATTTTTTCCTCACCCACTCTTGTCTCTTCTGCTCTTCCACCACTCCATCAAAGAAGAAGACCAGTCTGATGCCTATGGAGTTGAATGCCTCCACCCAGCTCTTCAGGACATCCATGTATTCCCTCCACTGCCCCCCACACACCCAGTTCTCACACGTGTACCAGTGGCACAGACAGGCCATCCCATCCACAACAAGTGTGGGACCTTCATGAAGAGTCAAAACATGAATGTAACAGAGAGCCAGCCAGCATGTCAACACTAACCTCATATGTCTTCACCCCGTCCATTTGTTTGTTCTTTACTTTGTTTGAAATCAGGATTGCATAAAAACAATGCAAAAGATTTTCACGAAAATTAGTGAAAGGGAAGAACCTGTTTAATTTTGGTGTTGTTCCAGATCGGGGGCAGATCCAGGATGTTTTCCCCGTTTCTCTTTATCATTGTGAGATAAGTTTGACTGATTTCCCAGGGAAAGATTCATGGATCTTAATGAAAAAAATCAGGCAGAGCAACTTGATTGATGGTCAGGGGATTGTAGGGTCTTGGTTGACAATTGTGCTCTTTTGAGCTCTCTTCAATTTTGACTCGTATTTTGTGGGCCCTAGTAGCTTTAGACTTTGTTAACTTGACAAAATAATAAATCAGACTTGAGCATGTGAGATAAGGGAACTTTAAAACGTATTTTAAGTTAAAAAATATATGTTCTTGTACATCACTCTACCTGTGCTGTGGGCTGAGGTTGTGTTTCTGGCAACGTGTTGTGAGGCCATCTTTCTGAGGTCCACAGTCACACACGCTTCTGGACAGCAGCGCTGCATGAAGTTCTGCAGACCCTTCACACCCATCGATCCCTGCACACAACAAACAGCAGCACGCACCGTCACACTGGTCTCACCGGGAACTGTAGAGGTAACTTAGGAAAGAAGATGTATTACCCCAGAATGTTCCCAAGCCCTCTATGTGTTTTTACACCTCTCCTACTTCCTCTGCTCGGTGAATGGAGCTGGAAGCTAACAGTTAGCTTAGCTTCGAACAGTTCATCAGTCAGAAGCAGCAGCGTCTCCCGTCTTCACAAGCCAACTCGTCTTGTCATAAGTAAAACCTGTAAACTCGTGTACAATCGGGTACTACGTTAAAATGTGAGGAAATGCTTACTTTGAAATACTTTTACACACACGAGCAGCGTTTACCGTGTTGTGTTTTGGTGTAAATGCAAATGACTTCCTGTTGTGTACGCGTGGCGTCATCACGTTACTAAACAAAGCGCACGTGCTCGGCGCATGGAGTCAGGGATCCGATGAACAGTGAAGTACTGAAAACTTAAATAAAACTACAAATACTGTGTAAAACACGTCAAAAAAATAGTCATAATAAACTGTATTCACATAGCACCTTTCAAAACACAGTTACAATGTGCTTTACCAATTAAAAGTGAAAGAAAAGAAAATAAATAGTTTTGAAGATCACACAACAATAGAGCACAGAAATACAATGAAAATACAGATGAGAATAGAGTAAAGAAAGAGAAAAAATAAAACAGCATAAAATGATCGAATAGAAGTAAGACCAGAACTAAGAGAAATCACTATGACATGTGTAATTATGATAAATAAGAAACCTTAAAGAGTTTTTTTTATAGGAAAAAGTGAAAAACAATCCAGAAATCATGTGGACATAATAGAACAGGTAAACAGTGGCATTGGTTCTCTCCGTATTTTATCAAAACTTGAACAAAATTGCGAATTAAATGTCATGAAGAAAAATCAACTTCATCAAAGAATACATGGACACACGAGAGTAGAGGTGTGTCTCACTTGTGTTTCAGGTCCAGCCCCTCCTCCTCCTCCTCCCCCTCCTCCTCCTCCTCCTCCTCTCAGAAACTCCTCCGCGGTGTTTTCAGTAACTCACTCAGAAACTTCAGTCTCCGCTGCTGCATCTCAGCCCTCACACTCTGTCCCCTGGTTTCGCTGCCATGCTGGATTAAGCTCCATTCACTTCTGCTATCCGATGGTTTCTGCTGCAGGTACAATGAGCTGCTGCACATCGAGCGATTAGAGGTAAGTTGGACGCGACACTTGAACCCAACCACTGAGTAACTGCTCGGTTTTATGGCTGAATCACAACTTCTCTCTCTGCTGTTGTCAGTAAATGTTGCTGCTTATGTTGCCGTCAATTCGTTGTATTCGCACTGATACAATTAAGAACAAATTGGTTTGATATCCAGTGACCGCAGAGACACTGTTGTTTGCCCTGTGGAATATCACAGTGATTGCTCACATGTTGTCATCTTGTAATTAGGGCATTTCACAACACTGAACATACACAAAACGATTAGAAGTTGTCTTCACTGCTTTGATTTCTTTTATTTTGCGCATTTCTCCACTCATCGTTTTCCAAGTGTAGCTGCCAGTGTCTTCACTGAACCCCTGTTAATGAGTAAACTCTGGGAATTTGGACACTGCTCTGAGCTCTTTGATACTGATTGCCCTCTTTTGTTTATCCTCAAGGGTGAGAACAGTTCACTACAGGGCTGCAGTGTTTGCACTGTGACCTGTGGGCTTGAGCAAGGACTGCAAAGAGGACACGGGAACGTTACACGACCATGGATTTCGGCAATGATGTGGATCTGTCCAATAATAACATCACACCTCTGTGGAAACGACGCACAGACAATTGCAAAAAAGCCCAGGACTTGGGCAAAGCCAAAGCGCGACCCCTCAGTTACCACATCAGTGGGGTCACGACAAAGGACTTCCCCGCGGAGGACAACAGGTATTCCCTGACCTTGAGCCAACCTGCCGAGAGGTTGGTGGCCGCAGCCCCTTGTTCGGGCAGTAACATCGCAGTGTTGAAGCACATTCTTAACAAGCCCTCCAGGAAATCCAGAGTCATTCGAAGCATCAGCATTGGGCACCTTTCCAGCGGACGCTTCTCATTGTCCAGATTTAGGTCTGAGGACAGCAGATCTGCTTCATTGGACAATAGAAAGCGTAATGGAGACAGTGACAAGGGGAAAAGCATTAATGGAAAGGCAGTGTCGTCTGAAAAGTGTCTCCTGGACTCCCAGATACACATCTCCAATCCTTTCACACTGACTTCACAAAAGGACCAGATAGCATTTGGGACAAGTTCATCCACACCCGATGGTGACCCTCTCAACTGTTCGTCTCCTGTCCTTTCCCCATGCACTCCCAACAACAACTACAACCACCATGAACTGTGTTCTCTTTCATCCACGTCCAGCTCCTCTCCCCCTGTCTGTCGCACCCCTACCCCCTCTCACAGCTCCACCTCCAGCATCCCCTCCCTCTCTTCCCTCACCTCCTCAGACCCCCCGACCCCACGCTCCCCATCACCGGCAGACAGAGGACAGCAGATCCTCAAACAGTCTTCAACCTCGCCTGCCTCGTCACAGGACACCAGGCATACCTCTTCTTCATCGTCCATCTCTTCCACCTCACCCTCCCTTTCCCCGTCTATCTCTCCCTCTCCCTCCATCATCCTCAGCACCCACAGTCCAGCTGCCCTGAAGATGGGCACCCAGCAGCTCATTCCCAAGGGCTTAGCATCTGATAGTCGGCAGAGCAAGGTGCCTCCCTCTGGGCAGCAAGGCCAAGGTTTGGCAGGTCTGCTCGGGTTGGATCATTCCAAGAGAGCTCTGAAATCCCTCAGTATGGTGGAGATTGGACCGTACTTTTCCACCGGAGGGAACCACGGTGAAGCGACAGAGGGAGAGAGTGACAGCCCGGGGACACTCAGGAGAGGCTTGAGGACTACCTCCTATAGGAAGGCTGTTGTGAGTGGAGTAGAGTCCCAGCCTGTTATCCAAGTGCTA